GTTTTCCCGGCGGTTTCGGTGGTTTTCCCGGACAGTTCGGCGGTTTCCCCGGCGGTGTCGGTGGTGTCGGCGGTGTTGGAGGTGTTGGCGCTCCCATTAACCCCGCTTTTGTTGGTTAAATGAGCGTAGTCAACTAATTATTACCATGTTTGTTATGTATAATATGCCTCTATCTAGGATAAGTTTGTTAATGTAACACATTTATTAATAAATTTTATGTTTAACATAAAGTTATAAATTTTATATATTTGTGCATTAATTTTGAATAATTTATTATAATTATTTTAGTATAAATAACAATTTTTGATAAATAAATAGTTTACATTAAATTTAGGTATGCCTTTGTTTAAACCCAATTTAATTTATGATGACAGTAAATGCCTGCTGCTTGAAATTCAAACTGGGTTTAGGAATATAAAATTGTTGTAATTATAATTATAATACACTATAAGTAATTATAAGATCACAAGTATTGATATATAAATATGAATAAATGTGGTTTGTTTTAAATGTCTTAAAACTAAAATTTAAAATAATTTTAAATAAGAGTTTCTTATAGTTTATTATTGAGTTTAATTATGGCTTATGTTGGCCGACTATTTACTTATAATTATATTATTTATATTGATAATTTATTGATATTATAAATAATATCATATATATTTATTGATAAAATTTAATTTTATTTAAATATATTTAAAAATCTACATATTAAACTATAAGATTATTAATTAGTTTAATGTTTTTAGTGTAAATAACTTTAAAAATCCAACATAATATTCAATGTAATATAGCAACATATTCATTTTATTAATAATTTTATTGTTACAAACAATCTAACAAAACTAAATCAAAATAATTTTTGATTAATTGTTAGCATATTAAAACATTTGTGAAACAATTAATTTTATTACAAAATCGATTTTGTATTATAAATTAAAATTATTAAATAAATAGTTTATTTTCAGGTAATTTCCTAGTAATATGTAAACAGAAATTAAGCATATACATTGTGTGATTTATCCCTTACAAGTTTAATTTACTATTAAAATTATTAAGTTATTATATTAATATATTTTATGAACAACACTACGTATCTATGTTACTATTTAGGTTTGTATATGCAAAAAAAATAAACAACATAATTAATAATTCATAAAAAATAACCAATAATTCAGCTGAATTTAATTAGATTAAAAACAAGACATTAGAAATTTGTATTCAGGTAATATGTAGTTTGTTTAAAGTTAAAAATGTTATAAATATTTGAATAAATAAATTGTATTGATAGTTTATAATGATCTGAATATTATTTGATACGGCTTAGGCATTTGTAGCCATACACTATCTAGTTCGGGCTCAAATGCATCTAGTGTGCGCTGAATATCATGATCATTATAAAGTTCCATGCGATATTCATTTGTCAATTGTATAAATCTGACCAACACTAAAAATAAGTTGTTAATAGCAAGCGATTCACCCAGGCACGTACGGCGACCGTAACTAAATGGTATATAAGCTGTTGGTTTTGTTTTTAAAAACTGCCCATGATTGTCAAGAAATCTATCGGGTTCAAATTTGTCAGCATTTGTCCAATACTTCGGGTCAGTCATAACGCTTGCTTGATGGAAAACAATCAGGGTGTTTTTAAGCACAGTAAAATCACCTATTTGTATTGTAAAAAGCACAAGTTATTAGCATTTTTATAATTATTTTTATACCTATTATATTATTTAATTGGGTTATTATCTAGTGCTTAATTACAATCCAATTAAATTACTGGCAAATAAAATATAAAATAAACAAATAAAGTTTATATAATGAAATTCTAACCTAGTTTGCTGTCATCTAACATTTTATGAGGAACACCAATTGGAAATGGATTTTTGTATCGCAATATTTCCGATATAAACGCCATCGTGTAGTTTAGTTTCGATTTATCCTCAATGACAGGCATACAATCACCAAGTTCATTGTTAATTTCATCGCGTAACTTATCCTGATAATCAGGGTAAAATGCAATAAATAACAGAGACCATAGGAATGTGGTCTGGGTAGTTTCAGTGCCACCTAGTATCAAATCAAACATTGTAAATTTTACAAAGTTTTAATCATAAGTTTTATGTTAATATGTTTTTATTAAAACATTTAATACAACATGATCGTCAATACCTATTAACATGTCAACCATAGCCGCCGGTAGGTTATCATCGGTAAGATAAGGTGCCGTCTGTTTCTCGTTGGCAATTGCCTTGTGTTTAGCGGCGATAAGTATATCACAAAAGTCACGCAAACTCTCGCAGTCGTGAGTCTTGTCGTGTGTTTGGTATATATCTCGCGTATAATTCATCAAATCATTGAAGTATTGCCTGTATTTAGCCATCGGATTTGCCATCAAATATCGTAACACCGGCACAAACTGGTAAATAAATAGCAATGCACCTAGGTCGGTGTGGAAATCTGTTATCGTATACTTTATTTTCATTTTCACATCTTGATTGTTGTTAATCCTATTTTTAATAATATGTGTGAAAATAATTTAAATAAGATCATACATGTATAAATATATTGAGAAAATGTCCGAGTATAATAATAATTTTAAATAAACTAGAATACTTTTTGCTAAACATGGCGTCGCCCATAATATTGACAAACATGTTGTATGAATAGAGTTTTGGCTTAAATGGTGTATTAATGGCTACATCTCTAGTAATATTGTCAATCATTTGGCGTACATTTTCGTCCACCACTTCAGACAATGCCTTTGATTTCGCGTATTTTCTAAATGTTTATTTAGTTTTAAAATTATTTTTTAATTTTTAGATAAATTAATGTTATTATTAATAATACAATTCAGCGCTCGTTTAAATGAATGTTAATAATTAATAAAATTAATTTTTTTAAAACAAGTACTAACGTCAAACAATTTCCTATGTTTTATGTAAAATAAACATATTTACACAACTTCATCTATGTAAATTACAGTTTATTTTACTTGAATCCTGGAAAAAATACTCATCATGCTAGTAAACAATATATAAATTTTATATTTTTATATAACTATAATTATTACCGAATAGCCGTAAGCGATACTCGGTGTAGACTTTCCCAACATTTACCATAATCATTAAATGCAATATCTGCATGACGTTCGTTATTGTATATTTCACCTAGTTAACAAGTAATATACGTTAAATAATCATTACAGTAAGAGTATTGATTACAATATTTATGTATTTAATTAGTATTTATGAAATAATTAATGAAATACTGTACTCACCAAATAACATGTCGATTCTACCGGAAAATTCACATTTAGTAAACGCCTGGCGACCCATATCGAGGTCGCATATGAACACGAATGGTAAGGGACCGATCCATAGGGTAAACACCGGGCCATACACCTTGCTCAGTTTGGAGACCTCTGTGTGCCATGCAAGTTTGTGATTGCGAAACACTATGTATTTTATTAAATAAATATAGTTAATAGCTCATTTACATGTTTGCATATATATATCGTTATAATTAGTAGTTTGTAAATTATTTTATAATGTTATTAATTTGAAAATGATTGCATACTTAAAACATTTCCAATGAGCGGAAGTGGAGTAGGACCAGGTGGATAATTATTAAGTTTTGAATAAAATTTGATTAGATAATAAATTACTATGCCAATTAGCAAATAAGCGCTGGTAACACATATCTCTCCGCTATATTTTATGTAAAATAAAATAAATTATTATAATTTTAATTGCTCTCTCTCTCTCTCTCTCTCTCTCTCTCTC